GTTGCATGCATCAGTCCAAAAGAAGTTAAATAAAAAGCACCCATCCATAATAAAAAAAAGTGTCTCACACGGTTCTGGGGGATGAACAAAGGCCTCCTGTAGCAAATCGATGCGTTTTTTAAGAAAAATATCCATATTTAAAACTTAATAATCAATTTTACGTTTAAATAATTCAGAGCATGACGTATGAGGTCAGGATCAAAGGAAGCAAATGTCCTTACTTTAGCAAAGGAAAACCAGTCTCCTCTTGGCTTATATCGAAATCCTCCAACATTCTTCTTTACAAATCCTCATTTTGTACTTCTAATTCTTGACCATTGTTTTGTTTTGATCTCTCCGCGTGCGTCACTTCTGAGCGGTGCATGCGCAAAGCTGAACTCATACGTCATCCGCCCGGAGCTGCTTCCAGTGTACAACAGTGAGCGCAAGCTACATTAAAGTGATTATTAAGTTTTGAATATGGATATTTTTCTTACAAAAATGCATCGATTCGCTACAGGAGGCCTTTGTTCACCCCCCGGAGCCGTGTGAGACACTTTTTTTATGGATGGGTGCTTTTTATTTAACTTCTTTTGGACTGATGCATGCAACACCCGCTGAGTGCCATTTAAACAGCTTGAAAGATCAAAGACCATTTTTAATAATGACTCATGCAGCTCTAAGCTTTTCTGCTTCTTTTGTTTTTCTCGCGATCTTCACAACACGCATTACATTACGTATTTCACGGCACACTCGTTTTATGTGTATTTGGCGCCACCTATTGTTGTGTGTGTATTATTGACATGTCAAAGTCTAGACCCTGAATATAAGACCACCGCGTTTTTTCAAAAGTATTTCCAAGAAAAAAACAGTCTTATATTCGGGTCAATACGGTAACTCCGACTGGATTCGTCTGAAAGAAGAAAGTCATATACACCTAGGATGACTTGAAGGTGAGTAATTTATGGGTTAATTTTTTAAGTGAACTAACCCTTTAATGAATCTTTGCAAATCGTCTTTCCTAATAATGTGCTAATTAGTAAGTTTCACAATGAATGCAGCTAAAGTAAACAGTCTCTCTGAGAGCAGCTCGAAAGAGAGGGGCGGGGTCAGCAGAGCTCATTAACATTTAAAGGAACATGCTACAAAACGGCTTGATCTGAAAAGAGCTGTTTTTGACAGGATAAAAAGGGTGTTGTTTTACACTGCCATTGAGAAATTTTAACCAAACTATGTTACAGACTTTTCATTAAGACCCTAAAGAATCATATCAACTTGTGGAAAATGGGCATCCGATGACCCTTTTAAATGCAGCATAGCCTTCTCATGACTGTGCATGGATGAATCCATTTGTTTGATTGGCTGTTCTGTATTTCCTCATGTGTAACCATGTTCATTAAGAATAAATCTGTTTACAGTGCATTGTGTTCTATGATTAATTCTTGTATTTAACCAAGTGTTATACACCACATTGAGGAGATTACTAAACGTCGCTGTAATGCAAAGCACACGAAATACCTTTTGTTAGAAGTTTTTTTCTCACTGAAGTTTGGTGCATTATGTTTTGAACAGTCACTTTTTACAGACACAGAGCTGGACACATGTGAGCCTGATCTTACACTAATGACACAAAGAACAGAGAGGAAAAAACATTATTATGGGATTTGTGTTGCAAGTTTTTTCTCTCTCAAAAACATTTTTTCCCCATCAAAAGACTTTCTTTTTCTCTCTTCAAAGTGGAGAGATAAAATTAGCATGCAGTACCAACCTCGTAAGTAAGTATAACATCTAACACTGCTTTCTCTGTTTATTTGTGAATAATGCATTTACAAGAAGGATTTGAACATTACAATTAAAACAAAATCAGGTTACATATGGCATTTGTCGCCATATGGCATTGTTCACGTTTAATTTTAAGGCTTCTGTACGATCTAGTGTTTGATTGCTACAATATAAACTACCAATACAAGCTAACTATACCTACATGTATGACCAACACTGAGAAACATTAAATACCTTTTGGTAGATGATGGTTGTTTCTCA